ACCGTGTGGAGCTTAAACATGTTTCCTAGACTCCCCTTCCCGGCTCTCTCTTGGAGTCTTCCCTGACTTCCATCAAACCCTACAACCCACCCTCTCTCCCTGAATGACATTCTTCCTGTGCTCTAGTTGGTATGGGACAGGGTGGTGGTGCTGGGTTACAAGTCTACACCAAATAGAGTGACCATGTTGGGTCATGGGTCAAGGCCAGGTTGTAAGTTCTCACAGGGTACGGGGTGGTCATACTAGTCACTGAGTCCATGGAAGGCAGGGGGGTATTTTTCTGGGACATGAGCAAGATCTTACCCTCCTCAGAGTTCACAGCTCTCTGTCCATGCCCCTCCCTGTGTTGTTGCCATGGCTACTGGAGCCTCTCTGCTCTGACCTCCCTGCCTCCTCATGAGCCTTGGAATCTGCTTATCCATTCATTCATAGATGGGCGTCTGCTTATCCGTTCATTCATAGATGGGCGTCTGCTTATCCGTTCATTCATAGATGGGCATCTGCTTATCCGTTCATTCATAGATGGGCGTCTGCTTATCCGTTCATTCATAGATGGGTGTCTGCTTATCCGTTCATTCATAGATGGGTGTCTGCTTATCTGTTCATTCATAGATGGGCGTCTGCTTATCTGTTCATTCATAGATGGGCGTCTGCTTATCCGTTCATTCATAGATGGGTGTCTGCTTATCCGTTCATTCATAGATGGGTGTCTGCTTATCCGTTCATTCATAGATGGGTGTCTGCTTATCCGTTCATTCATAGATGGGTGTCTGCTTATCTGTTCATTCATAGATGGGCGTCTGCTTATCCATTCATTCATAGATGGGCGTCTGCTTATCCATTCATTCATAGATGGGCGTCTGCTTATCCGTTCATTCATAGATGGGTGTCTGCTTATCCGTTCATTCATAGATGGGTGTCTGCTTATCTGTTCATTCATAGATGGGTGTCTGCTTATCCATTCATTCATAGATGGGTGTCTGCTTATCTGTTCATTCATAGATGGGCGTCTGCCGCATTTCTAGCGTCCAGGTCTTACAGACAAAGCTGTGTGAGCATCTGAGTACTTGCCTCAGAGCAGCCAGACGGTTCCTGTTCTCTTGGGGAGTTGCCTAGGAGCACAATGGCTGGATCCCAGGACACAGCCTCGTGTGACTCCGGGAACCCGCCAAAGTGGCTCACAGAGGGATCTCGGCATTTCACACTCCAGCATCACCATGCGGGTTCCAGTTCCCACATCCAAACCACGACCCTATACAGCCTCTCAGTCCCGGACTTTCTCATTTCGAGCCTAACAGGGGACCTGCCATTTCTTCTCACTCCCATGAGTGACAGCACTAAGCATCTCTTCCTGTGCTATCTGTTGTCACCTGTGCAGGTCACTAGACAACAGCAAGGTTCTCCACTTAGCCAGACCTCAGCCAGGCTCTAGCACCTTCCCCTAGACTCAGTCTATTTTGCTTTAAAAATTTGTCTTTTGGGTGCGGGGTGGGGCAGGGCTGGGCAGGGTCAGAGGACAACTTTCGGGAGTCACCTCTCTCCTTCCACCATGCAAGACCCAGGAATCATGCTCAGCTCTCAAGGCTTTATATGCAGCAAGTGCCTTTGCCTGCTGCGCCGTCTCCCTAACCCATAGACTGCTCTGATAAAATGCAGTTGTATAAAAAGAACCCCAAGAAGTCAGCTTACACCCTCACAGACACTGAGGGTGATAGCAGGTGCTCATCGGGTCCTCAGATGGGGGCCCAGCTTTCTTCTTGTAAAAATGATTATGTGTGTGTGTGTGTGCATGGGAGAGGGAGAGGGAGAGGGAGAGGGAGAGGGAGAGAGAAAGAGAAAGAGAGAGAGGTGTGATATGTGTGAAATGTGTATTGATGTGGGTGTGCATGCATGTGTGTGTGATGTCTGCCTATGTATGTGTGTGTGTGTGATGTCTGTCTATGTATGTGTGTGTGATGTGTGTGTGATGTGTGTGTGTGTGTGTGTGTGTGTGTGTGACATGTGGCCATGAAAGTTGGTTCCCCTGGTGTTAGAGCCATGGGAGGCCATAAGCTGCTGCCCAACGTGGATGCTGGGAACTGGACTCAGGTCCTTTGGAAGAAAAGTACTCTCTGTTGTCCACTAAGCCATCTCTCTAACCTCACCCTGGCCTACCCGAAGGAGAGTCCTGATATGTTTCCTTGAACCTCCCTTCATCCTTCTGAGCCACTTTCTGTTCCTTGACAACCACACCCTCATGCCCAGCTCCCCGTCCCTTGGCTCTAAAATTCCTCTGGCCCACGCTTCATTGGGAGTCAAGCCCAGCTTCTCTCCCTGACTGCAGCAGCTCCTTGCAAAGGCTCCTGCGCCCATCCACCATGTGTCCTGAGCAAAGTCTCCCACACAGGGACCGTGATGCACTCCTCCCCAGTACACACCCGAGCCTTCGCCATCCTTGTATTCGGGTTTGACAGCTCATCATAAAGTCTGTAAAGAAGTTATTCATCAAATGTTTCCTTCCAGCCTGGGACTTATCTTTAATTCCCTCAGCACGTCTTATAAGAAGAAGAAGTTTTTAATTTTAATGGAGTCCAACTTATCAACTTGTTCTGTTACTGAAGCACCAGGAGTGTCATATAAGAAATCTTTGTCTAATTCAAACTCCTCTGTGTTCTCAGCAGAAGTTTCACAGTTTGAGGTTTTAGGTTTAAGTCCATGATCAATTTTTAGTTAATTCTTCTGCTTGGTCCCAGGCATTAGTCCAAATCTATTTTATTTCTCACAGATATCCTATTGGCTCTAGACACACGTTCGAAAACGAATCCATTTTGCATCGAATTACCATTGCATCTTTTCAAGAGTTAGCCTTCCAGGGAAGCAAAATGTCTTAATGTTAAGGTAAAGGTGCTTACCTCCAACCCTGACGACCCGAGCTCAGCTCTACACACAGGCTTGTTGAGGTCCTGGAACCAGGTAATGTGCCTTCCAAATTCCTCTTCTCGGGATGACTTTGGTTGTTTGGGGTCCTTCGCACCTTTCATGTGCATTTTAGAATCAATTTGTCAAGTTACCAAACGAAGAAAAGTAAAGGCTCTCTGGGGTTAGCTTGGTGTCACATGGTACCTGCAGATCACTCGGGGGAAAGTTGTCTTTAAATTCCTTTTCTTTTCCTGAAGCGACAGTCACTGAGCCTGAGTGGGTCCTCTGCACATAGGTCATGGTTGTGTAGCTGAGTATTTTTGTGGGACTCCTAACCGTGGGAGTGGGGGTGTCCCTGACTCTTTTGTTTCTCTTGGGACCCTTTCCCTCCTACTGGGTTGGCTTGTACAGCCTTCATGAGGGTTTGTGCCCAGTCTTATTGTAACCTGTTATTCTGTGTTTGATTGACATCCCTGGGAGGCTTACTCTTTTCTGAAGGGAGGGGAAACTGTAGTTGGGATACATTGTATGAGAGAAGAATATATTTTTTAAATTGTTTTTAAAAAAGAAAACGTATTTTTTTCCTTCCCATAACATATCCTGATTATGGCTTTCCCTCCCTCTGCTCCTCCCGGTCCCCTCCCACCACCCCTCCATCTGGATTCACTCCATTTCTGTATCTCAATAGAAAACAAACAAGCTTCCAAGGAGTAATACCATACCATACCATACTATATTATACCATACTATACCATATCATACTATCTTACCATATCATACCATACCATACCATATTACACCATACCATACTATTCCATACCATACTAGACTGTACGATATCACGCCACACCATACCATTCCATATCATACTATACTATAAAATAGAATACCATACCATACTATGATAAACAGCTAACACATTAGAATTGGAGAAAACAAGCAGAAGTCTTAAAATATTAATTCTTGGCTAATTCCCACTCATTTATGTCTTTTTAAATTTCTATTGACTTGTTTTGTACTTTTCAGCATGCTCCTTTAAAAACTTGGGCAAATTTCCTCTTAAGTATAGACACCTTTTGTGCCTTTATGGCTGATGTTTTAATCTATTTTCAGCTTCCATTGTTTATCGATAGTGTAATGAAATACAACAAAAAATTTCACTTGCTTCTTACTTCTGACAGCAGCGTGCTTGAATACAATACATTCAGCTTCCCCCACTGCCCTCTCTCATCCCCGCCGACTACCAAGTCTTTTTGTTCTGGTCGGGGTTTCCATTGCTGTGAAGAGCCACCATGGCCACGGCAGGTCTTACGAAGAAAGCATTTAATTGGGGTGGCTCGCTTACAGTTTCAAAGTTCCAGTCCATTATCACCATGATGGGCAGAATGTCCGTGTGCGGACAGGCGTGGTGCTGGATCTGAGACTGCTCTATCTTGCAGGCAACGGGAAGTCAACTGACACACTGGGCAGTATCCTGAGCATAGGAAACCTCAAAGCCCACCCCCACAGTGACACACTTCCTCCAACAAGGCCACACCCACTCCAAAAAGCCACACCTTCTAGTAGTGCCACTCCCTATGAGATTGTGGGTGCCAGTTGCATTCAAACAACCACACCCTTCCTCCCAGTTGATCATCTACCCACCATCATGTTTCCTTTCTTTCCTCCCCCCTCGCTCCCTCTCAGAGAGCCCACACAGGTAGTCACAGTCAGTCGTTGATTGAAAATGTCACACGCCATTCAGAAGATGGTGCCTCGCCATCCATCAGCCCCTGCTTTCCTTCTGTCCCTTCTTCCATGACGTTCCCCGGGGCCTTGGGGGAGTTGACATGAATGTCCGTCTGTAGAGAGAAGCCTTTTCCTTGCCAGCTGCTTTGGTTTTTCCCCACCAGTCGCCTGGGCTCTGCTGTGTTGCAGTCCCCAAATAACACACAAGACGCTGTATTAATTATGAAGCTGTTGGCCTTGCTTGTTTCTTACTGGCTAGCTCTGACTTAAGTATTTACCCCATAACTGCCAATCTAAGTATTTCTCTTACAGGAGAAAAGTTTCCAACTTCTTACCCCTATGGCAGCTACATCTTGACTCCCTGTGTTTCTCCTACCCAGAATCCTCCTGGACTCCTAGTCCCACCTATCTTGCTTCCCTATTGGCCAACAGTGCTTTATTGACATATACACAGGACTTCCCCATCATCCATCCCGGCTTTGACCATTGCCCACTGGGGAAAAGAGAAATACTAAAATATGGGACTATTTAGAAAGCAGTTTAACTATCTGTCTATTTGGTAAAATATCAGTGGCGGTTTTCCCCAGAAGGCAAGTGACCTCCCTAGCCATGGGCCGTTGTCCAGTTCTATAGTGCCATGCGTGCACTCTGTCCCACGGAACAGGCTTCACATCCCGTCAGGAAGCACTTGGTTACCCACAGGTTACCCGTAGTCCATATTGCCAGGAAGCCCGGTGTTGTGGCACCCAGAGTCTATAGCTGTTGCAGTCACTGAGGATGTTTCTCCCCTGACAGCGTCGGTAGCATCCTCCAAGACCATGAAGAAGCCAATAAGGAGGAAGCCTTGCGTTCCGGTCTAATGAGGTGTCTCTGTCCTGCATTCGCAGTGTGTGGCGAGCTCAGCTTAGTAGCATCCAAGCGATAACGATGGCCTGTATTCTGTTGAGAGGTCCTTGTAGGAAGGCATTCCACACCCGGCCCTGGGGTTTTAGTATGAAAATCAATGGCTTCTTACAGCCGCTTTAACCACCCGTGAAGAGGATGTCTACCTGATCTCCTTTTTATTAATAGCGCGTGTTTCAGCCGGCAGATGAAGTAGGAGGCGTCTTCACAGCCTTGGTCAACCCTCTCCCCTGCCCCACAGAAAAGTGAGTAAAACTGGAAGATATTATATTGAGCAAAGTGAGCCAGGCCCAGAAAGACAAACTCTGTGTGTTTTCTCTCTCTTATGAGAGCCCTAGACTCAAATTTTTAGACAGTTGTGTTTAAGTTGGAGCGGATGTGAGTAGAGCCCAGAGAGGAAGAAAATCGCCATGAGAGGACTGAGGGGAGGAGGCATCTGGAAGTGTGACAGTAAAACACACACTGAAAATAGAACAGGGGCCACGAGAGAGATGGTTTAAAGGGCGTGGAGGCAGGGGTGGGGGACAGGTCAGCGCCGTGATCTGTCGGTTTCTTAGTCACTGAAATCATGTGTTCATTCTAATAGCTTCTCGTGGATTCTGCTGGATTTCTGTGTGTCCATGTGTGTCTATGTATGTCTGTGTGTGTGTACAGTGTAAGTGTCTGTGTGTGTGTATCTATATATGTGTGTCTGTGCGTCTATATATGTGTGTCTGTCTGTCTCTGTGTGTGCATCTGTGTGTGTGTCCATGTGTGTGTGTCCGTGTGTGTGTGTGTCCGTGTGAACACGGCAATGCAGAGCACACACCCTAGCACCTCCTTTAGAACTCTCATACGCTAGTCCATTACTGTGATACCTGCAGTGTCCCAGGTCCAGCCTCCAGCTTGTATATTTTATAAGGCAGCCACAGGAAACAGGCATCGAGATGTGTGTGTGTGTGAAAGCCGATCACCTTCCTACATCTGAAAAGATGAGGAGTCAGCATCAGCGGAACCATTGGGTCTGTGGCTGGGAGGGGCAAGAGATTCCCCCCCCCTCTGCACAGCTCTCTGGTGGCTCTTAGCCAGGACCCGGAATCCAAGTCAAACAAAAGCAAAGCATAGAAGCCTCATCACCTTGGCAGGGACACGGGAACCTCCACAGGACAGCGACCTCAGAAGAGCTGACCAAAAGCAAGGGCGCATGAGGAGAGGGGCACAAAGGCGGTGAAGACGTGACGTGGTTACCAGAGGGAGGGCCTGTTTATCCAGGTCCGTCAGAGCCCAGTTTCCAGTCTCCGGATCAGAAATGGGAGGGTCCTCTTCCACCACAGAGTCCTCACGGTGTTTCCCTGCAGGTTGGAAAAGTCAGAACAGGGTGTCTACAGCGTCATCTCCCCAAGAGACGCCCCCTTCAGATAAGCAATGCAGCAGCTGCTCCAGTCTTCAGTTCCTTCAGACTTTAACTGACCTCGAGTTCTGTCGCTAGGTCCGCAACGCGGATGACAAGACTGAGCCAGGGTGGGATTGCACAGGCCTCTTGTGATGAAAGCACCTGACAGGAACCCCTTGAGGGGAAAGCCATGCTTTAGCTCACGGCTTCAGAGGCAGAGCAGCCTCCATCACAGTGGCCTGGAAGCAGAGAGGGGTAACTGTAGAGAGATGCCTTTTTCTTGTCAGCTGCTTGGTTTTTCCCCACCAGTCGCCTGGGCTCTGCCGCATTGCAGTCCCCAAATAACACACAAGACGCTGTATTAATTATGAAGCTGTTGGCCTTGCTTGTTTCTTACGGGCTATCTCTGACTTAAGTATTTATCTCATAACTGCCAATCTAAGTATTTCTCTTACCGGAGAAAAGTTTCCGGGCTTCTTACCCCTATGGCGGTTACATCTTGACTTCCTGTGTTTCTCCTACCCAGAGTCCTCCTCGACTCCTAGTCCCACCTATCTTGCTTCCCTATTGGCCAACAGTGCTTTATTGACATACACACAGGACTTTCCCCATCAGGTAAGCACAGAGCAGGACACGGCCTTGAGGACACACCACCTGTGGCCTGCTTTCTCTAACTACACCTTACCTTACACCATTCGCCCCTGTCAGTAAAGCCATCGTATCAGGAAGCAGCCAAAGGATTATCCCCACTCATTACCCGGAGGCCCCTGGGTCTGATTATCTAGAGACACTCCTCCATAGACACACCCTGATGTAACCTTTTGCAATTTCCTATGCGGGTCTCAGTCCAATCAAACTGACAAAAATGAACCATCGTGTAGATGCACAGATAAAGATACACAGGACTAGGACAGATATGGGTTAATTTTACTCGGGGAGAAGTCACTTACAGGAGAAATGGATGACCCACCAGTTTCAGCTCCGAGGATCCATGCCCAGCTGCTCTCTGTGACCCGACCGGAACCAAGAGAGAGCAAGCCTGTCCCGGACCCCAGACCAAATCCCACACGCTCACGTACGCAACACACCTGTGACCACACCCAAACGGGTGTGGTCAGTGCCAAAGGTGCAGCTAGTTGAATCACTCACTACACCGTCATCCCACTCAGTTTCAGGGGCTCGCACTTGGAACCAGTGACCACCGCCTCTCACACCTGTGACCACGCCCAAATGGGTGTGGTCAGCGCCACAGGTGCAGCTAGTTGAATCACTCACTATACCGTCATCCCACTCAGTTTCAGGGACTGGATTTCTATACAGGGCTCGCACTTGGAACCCGTGACCACCGCCTCTCACACCAGTGACCACCGCCTCTCACGCACACAGCTGCCTGCCCGGTGCCTATCACTTGAGCGCTCAGGTCTGTGGAAGGGGGAGAGAAGGATCTCTGGTTAGCTTGGGACCTGCCCCCTCATCCGTTTTCTCTGAGCTGCCATTCCACTGTGACCTCATCACCGTCTCAGCCTCCCCCCACAAAGTGGCGTCGGTCTCGCCTGTGGCCGACTACTCTGGGAAGCGTCTCACCCCCTCCACAAGCTCGCCCGTGGAGAAAAACCTTTGCTTCCGCATTGTAATTGATCTCTGTTTGGGCGAGCACTGGTGTTCGCAGAAAGACACCCCCACCGTCAGGAAATTCCTAACCGTTTAGACTTGTTAGAAGTTGTATTTCCAGAGACTCCCGTGGCTTTTAAGTCATTATCTGCTGACCACTGGAAGGGTTTAATTGACCTCTCAAGCACAGCCCTCCATAAATATCCGATAAGGAGATCCTCTCTGGTGAGGGCTGGTTCTTGCTGACAGAGTCATTGTGTGCGTGGCCCTGGCTTCTCTCACCTGAGTGTGATGGCCCTGCCGAGATGTGTCTGCCTGCCGAGATGTCCGGTGATGCGTCCTGGGCAGCTAGTGTCTGCCTGGACCACCTGAGCTTCCTTCTCTCAGCTTTGTGCTTTGAGTCCTTACTGTCTGAATGTGGATTGAAATCCTAATCTCATCTGCAAGGGACACCCCTGTTTCCATGTGCACGTTTGCTTCTGGGGAGCCTGATCCTAAGAAGCTCAGCCATGCAGCCCTGAGGCCAAAGGTCAAACGTCAGGAGACTCCACCCACCCAGGGTGAGCTTTTGCCTGCGATTCCAACTCCATCAGCAGGATTTCTGAAGTGTATTGTGACACCTGCTACTGAATAACCCAAGTCACCTTTGTGTGTGTGTGTGTGTGTGTGTGTGTGTGTGTGTGTTCTTGGATATGTTGGGGGGACACCTGTGCATGCATGGGCATACAAATGTGAGTGTCTTAGGGGCATATGTGTGTGGTGTGTGTGCACGGACATGTGTGTGCAAGAGTATGTGTGTGCCCGGACATGTGTGTCCATGGACAGGTGTGTGCATGGACAGGTGTGTGCATGAACATGTGTGTGCATGATCATGTGTGTGCACGGACATATGTGTGCACAGACAGGTGTGTGCATGAACATGTGTGTGCATGGACATGTGTGTGTGTAGACACAAGTATGTGGGGGTGTCTTAGGGTTTCAATCATTTTGATGAAACACCGTGACCAAAAGCGACTGGAGAAGGAATGGGTTTACCTCACCTTCCAGCCTCTAAGTTTGTCATCCCGGAAAGTCAGGGCAGGAACTCAAGACACAGTCGTGGGGGCAGAGACTGAAGCAGGGGGCCATGGAAAATTGCTGCTTACCGGCTACCTTCTAACAGCACCCAGGACCGCCAGTGCAGGGACTACACCAGCCACAGTGAGCTGGGCCCTCCCACATCAGCCGTCAATCAAAAAAACAAATGCGTCACAGGTTTTCCCATAGCCCGACCTTGTCTATTCAATTTCTCAATGGCTCTAGCTTGTGTCAAGTTGATATTAAACTAGCCAGGGCAGGCATATGTGTATGCATAAAGGTGTGTGTGTGTGTGTGTGTGTGTGTGTGTGTGTGTGTATGTCAGGGGCATGTTTGTATGTAGACATACATTTGCATGCACACATGTTAGCATGTCAGAAGTATGAGTATTTGAGCATTTGTGGGTGGGTCCTCATGTATGTGTGTGTGTGCATGAGCATGTATGTATGGACACATGTGAGTATAGAAGCATGTGTGTACATGTGTAAAGTCATAAGTGTGCTCATGGCACGTGTGCGAGTTTATGTGTTTGTGCGTGTGTGTGTGTGTGTGTGTGTGTGTGTGTTATCATTTACACCAGTGAGGTCAGCTGCTGCCCAACTAAGCCAGGACTGGAACACTCACAATTTCTCAAGAGCAGACTGACCTTTGGATTCTATTTGGACTTTTTCACACACCATTTGGGTAATGATTTTGGCTCTTTTAATAAATGGACAATAAAACCAAAGTTGAGGGGCAAAATGAAATGCCTCTGATGATCCGGCAATTTACAGCTGTCTATAAACAGCGGTGATGCCCCCGGATGAGAGCTATTTGGGGAAAGAGCCTCTGCTGGGATGACTCTTGGATGATTATGGCGTCTGAGCACCCTGACATGCTTCTCAACATCCCTTTAAATGCCTGCATTATGATTATGACTGCTGTCATTAGGGTCGTTAGCATTGTCTCGTCTGGAGAGCCATCCCAAGGGACAGCAGATTGTTATGAAGAAATTGTTCTGCGATGCCTCCCTGAGAATGGGTCCTGGCAGTGAGAGACAGACAGGGAGTGACTGGAATAGTCAGCTCTTCCCTAGTCTCTTTGGGGCACAGCTCAGGTAGAGTCTAGCAAGAGGAAGCAGAGACCAGTGGTCAGGAAGGCCAGCAGGGAACCTCGGCACTTGGAGCACGCAAGGATCCCATGCTCGGGTATGAATCCCCCAGGGTACATCTCCATTCTTACTGCACTCACCAGGCCACAGCCCACCCAGGGAGCCCATAATTGCAGGGCTGCATCCTGGCTTCCTTCCTATTGCTCTGACAAACACCTGACCAAAGGAACTCTGAAGGGGGAACAGCCTTCTGTATGCCATGAATATGTGTTTCTCTTATTGATGACTAAGTTGATGAATAAAACACTGATTGTACGGTAGCCAGGTAGGAAGTATAGGTGGGGCTAATAGATGAGGAGAATTCTGGAGAGAGGATGCAGAGAAAAGCCATCAGAGAGACGCCATGCAGCTATCAGGAAGATAGGACGCTGGGCATTCTCCAGTAAGATAAGGCCATGTAGAAATACGCAGGTTAACAGTCATGGGTTAATAATTAAGAGAGAGCTAGCTAGTAAGAAGCCTGAGCCATCAGCCAAACAGTTGATAGTTAATATAAGCCCCCGTGTGTTTATTTTGGACTAAAGGGCTGCGGGACCTGGTGGGACAGAGACCTCCATCTATACAACTCAAGCAAGCGTGGAAGTGTTTATAATGGAAGCCCATGGTTCAACAGTACAGACCACCACGGAGAGGACGGCATGATGGCTGGATGCTGGGGAATCTGGCCACATTGCATCTGCTGCCCAGAAGCCAGAAGTGATTAATGATAGCGCTTAGCTCGCTTTTTATCCAGTCCAGGACTCCAGCCCGTGGGTTATGGCCAACCACATCCAGGGCAGACAATCCCTCGTCAGCTGAACTTCTCTAGAAACACACTGGCACACACACTAAGAGGTGTGTCTCCTAGGTGACACTAAATCTCATCAAGTTGACAATGGAAATGAACCACCGCGCTGATGTTGGGTCACTGAATAATCTATAAAATACATGAGTAGAGCCGGGCACCAGGCTGAGCTATGGCGCAGGAGTACAGCCAGTTGCCCGTACTCAGAAGTCTACCAGTTTGGAACCCATGCATATAACCCATATGGCAGTGGGCCTAACCTGGGTTTCCTATGGGTTTCTTGGTCAGGGCAGACGAGTCCTGGGTCTTCTTACACAAGCCCAGCACAGTAGCTGCCCAAGTGACCATTCTGGTTTCTCCCATGGAGGTGAACTTGCTGAGATTAAATTAAGTACAGTTCAGGACCAGTTTCCAGGTGTGGTAGGGCCAAGGCAGACCGCTCTGCCCTGGGAACGCCAGTGCTATCTGCTTTCTTCTGCTGAGCCAAGGTCTGTCTGCACTGACTCGCTGGTAGCTGCCTATCAACTAGTTTACCCAGGAAAACCCATCCCGGGGGTCAGACTCCAGGCACCAGGCTGGTGCTGCTCCCAGAACGGCTTAGCTGGGAGTGGAGAACAACAGATTTATTTACTCCCCGGAGCCATGTGCCGTTCCAGGGAGAGTGCCACGGGGGACACGCGTGGCAAGTCCCATCAGCACTTGTCTCCTTGTCACATCCCTGGCAGCCTGCTCTGTGACATCTCTCTGACAGTCTCATTTGCATATTTAACCCAACTCCTTCATAGCCTCGTTTCACTCTGGGGCAGTTGTCACAATGCAATGAGGGAGTCTGAAGCAAATCCCTCGTGCCAACGACAGGCAGGACCCTGGCCCTCACTGTGAGCCGAACTCTCAAGGACAACACCAAATGTGGGATGGGGACGGGGACTCCTGGAGGGTTGGCCCTGGCGCTCTCAATGGCCCCCTGCTCCCTGCAGGTTCACCGATCACGTTAGCAGACACAGAAGGGCGCCCGAGTTCTAGCAAACTCGTGTGTGAGCAAGCAGCCCTGGGTTCCGCTCCTGCCACTGGAGACGGGCTGTCTCTGACTCAGCACACACCAGTGCCTGCTACCACAGGCAGTCCTGCACTCTCTGAGTCAAAGCAATGCTGGCTGGATCCTCAGATGCAAAGATGAGAGGGATCCTTCCTTCACCGGGTCATGGCCAGCAGGAGAGATGGGAAAAGTCAGCAGGGAATGAGAAGCAGGAAGCCCAGAAGTGAGGACACGGGCGACGGAGCGTTGAGCAGGGCTACCGGGTGGGGGCACTTGGATGAAGGCATAGAGAGGAGAACAATTTCCAGAGTCACAGGCTAGGGAGACCGGGCACAGAAAGTCCTGCAGGGCATCCTACAGGAAGACAGCCTTCTGTCCAGGGACAAACCCCAAGCCAAATGTGCCTTGATGCTATGGCGCATATATGACTGAGGGTGT